GGTGGCCCCACACTGACCACCGCGCCATAATCGACTTTAATCCTCGGATATCTTAGTAGTAATGGCAGCGGTGGTTAGTGATACAACTAAAACCCGAACTAGTACTGGCACTAATAAGTACTCATCAATTTGAAATGACTATAGCCCATCATTCTCAAAACCCGAGGGGTGAGGGGCTTCGAGGGAAGCGGAGCAAGTGGAAGGTCCCAGGCCCGGCTGGGGTTAGGACTGTGTGTGTGTGTGTGTGTGTGTGTGTGTGTGTGTGTGTGTGATGTGTGTGTGTGTGTGTGTGTGTGTGTGTGTGTGTGTGTGTGTGTGTGTGTAGGGGGCTGGGTTCCGAAGGAGGGCTGAGGGGGGGAGCACAGAAGGAGGGGGTAGAGTTTCAGCGCGGGGAGGGGGGCGCCGGGGCGCAGTGACGGGAACCAATGAGCTGCCAACTCGCGCGTCTCCGGCGTGACTGCCTAGATTGACGTGGAGGACACGTCAAATTGATCCCCGCACTCCGCAGCCTCCCGGTCAGACGAATTTCTCCTAATCGGATGAAGTTCACCCTAGGCCTGGGGTCGCGGGCGTGGAGAGTGTCCTGGGAGCGGGCGGCGGCGGCGGCGGCGGGCGGCGGCGCGCTCGGCAGCGGCTCACGGCGCTCTTCCAGCCCGCGGCCCGGCCGCCGCGGCTCTCGGCTCGCGCGCGCCCTCCCTCTATGCCTCTCCCGCGGCGGCGGCGCCCCAGCTCTCCCGGACCGCGCCGGGCCCAGCCCCGGCCGCCTCGGCGCCAGGCAGCCGGCCGGCCCGCGCGCCATGGGTAAGGGGCGGGCGGACGAGGCGGGGGGTGTCCCGGCGCCTCCCTTCCCTCTCGCCCGCGGTCCCTGGGAGACCAGGTCCCGGGTCCCGGACCGGCCGTGTTCTCCGCACGCCCCCAGCCCCGGGCGTGGGTGGGGGGCGCTGGGCGTGTCGCGGGAGGGGATGTCCCAAGTAGACGCGTCGGGAGTCGCGAAAGGGCACGGAGGGCTGAAGCGCGCGGCTGCCCCCTCCGTGGTCCCTGCGCGCGTGCCAACTCCCGGGACCGGACCGGGTCCGTTTGCTCGGATTCCGAGAACCCGCCGGTCACCTTCGGAGGTGCCCCTTGCAGCCCCTGTCCCTGCGCGGCCACCCTCGGCTAACCCGCCGGTGTTCTTTCCCCTCCCCTCACTCTCGTCGGGCGCGTCCGCAGAGCAGACGTACGGCGAGGTGAACCAGCTGGGCGGCGTGTTCGTCAACGGCCGCCCCCTGCCCAACGCCATCCGCCTGCGCATCGTGGAGCTGGCGCAGCTGGGCATCCGACCCTGTGACATCAGCCGGCAGCTTCGCGTATCCCACGGCTGCGTGAGCAAGATCCTGGCGCGCTACAACGAGACGGGCTCCATCCTGCCCGGGGCCATTGGGGGCAGCAAACCCCGCGTCACTACCCCCAACGTGGTCAAGCACATCCGGGACTACAAGCAGGGCGACCCCGGCATCTTTGCCTGGGAGATACGCGACCGGCTGCTGGCCGACGGCGTCTGCGACAAGTACAACGTGCCCTCTGTGAGTTCCATCAGCCGCATCCTGCGCAATAAGATTGGCAGCCTGGCGCAGCCCGGCCCGTACGAGGCGAGCAAGCAGCCGCCGCCGCAGCCGGCGCTGCCCTATAACCACATCTACCAGTATCCCTACCCCAGCCCCGTGTCGCCCACGGGCGCCAAGATGGGCAGCCACCACGGGGTCCCGGGCACAGCGGGCCACGTCAGCATCCCCCGTTCATGGCCCTCGGCTCACTCGGTCAGCAATATCCTGGGCATCCGGACGTTTATGGAGCAAACAGGTCAGTGGCGCCGGCCTTCTGTAGCCTTCCTGGAAGGGGCAGAAGTGGAGCGGGGGGGGGGGGCCGTGTAGATTACATCCAAGAAAAAGAAATCCACCCATCATCATGGATGGGGGGGGGGGGGGGGGGGGGGGGGGGAGGCATGCGGGTGAGGGGTCACTCTCGCGGGCCTCCGCCAACCGGTTTTGGCTCAGGGGAGGGCTCCGGGTTGGCCAGGGAGACTGAGGGTCCCGGGCCTTCTGTGGGAGTCCTCGGACATCTTGAACTTTTTATGACAAATATGGAAAATATTTCCCAAATAGAAGAGCAATCACCGACCACAAATTCGGAGGCTTGAAATTGCGCTTTTTCATTCTTGCAAAAAGTATGCAAACCCCTATCGCCAGATCTAAGTCAAACAAACTGCAAAGTCAATTCTGCGACCCTTTCTTAAGATCCCGATCTTTCGGGATCCCTCACCATTCCCCAAAGGGCTCTGTCCCTCCCAGGCCTAAAGGTTCTTTGAGTAAAAGGCAAAGGGTCTGGCTGGCCGGTCTTGCTGAGTGGCCTGAATCTCCAGCAGGCCCCGTGGCCTGGCGGGTGACAGGCGCCTGCAGGCTGCAGCCATCCTCAGGGTGAAAGCTCCCACGGACTCACCCTTTGCCTGCAATCTCTGGGTGTGGAGGGAGGGGACGGGGAGAGGGGGGAATGTTAGGGGCAGTTTTGGTGAGGGGCTCGGAAGAATGGGTGGGGGTCAGGATTGGGTCCCCAGTCCCTTTGCACTGTCCCCTGCCCCCAGCAGCCGGCCAGAGAGTGGCGTGTTCTTAGGTGCGCAGACTCAGCAGGAGCATAAGAGGCAAAATTCACCGTAGCCCAAGAGACAGGAGGGGCGTCCAGAAAGAAACTGAAGGCTTAGCTCCAGCGGCTGTGGGCCGCGCCTCCAGGCCGTGCACAGGCTTCATTTCTCCTTGTGGCTCAAACCCAGCCTGGGCCGCAGGCTTGGGCCAAAGTTTCCCATGGAGCGTCCGGTGGGGAGCTAGCGGGGAGGTGACCTCTCCAGGCCTGAGCGCAGATCTGGAGCTTTCTCTCGGTTTCCTGCACACACACGTGCACGAGGAGCAGACCTGTGCCAGGGACGCTCACGGGTGGCTGGGTTGATGCCTCTTTCTGGAGGCCCGGGATGTCTCTGGAGGGAGTTGTGAGTAGAAACGGCTTCCAGCCCTCCAGACGCTTATTGAGACGTTGAGAAGCCCATATAATTCTCTTGAGCCTGCTGTGGATTTGAACTTGGACCTTTTGGGGCATCGTCTCTGGAAAGTGGAAAAGCCGCCTGGGCGGACGGCGCCCAGACCTGGCCGTCAGCCTCTCCCTGTCAGAAACTTCCTGTTTCGTGGGAAGCGGGTGGAGACCTGGGAGGAGCGAGGGGCAGGTCCCTAGCACCCTCTCTCTGCCCCGCTGGGAGCAACAGTGAAATCTGGGGTCCCCGCTGCCCTGAGCATCTGCCGCCGGGTGTCGTGCCTTCGGATCTGAGCTGGGCGCTTGTAGGCACGTGTGTAGATGTCCGGGCCGGAGGCTGCCCGTGTGTCCAGTGCGGACTCAGATGCCTCTTCTAATCCTCCTGTGTCCCCGCAGGGGCCCTGGGGGGGAGCGAAGGCGCCGCCTACTCCCCGAAGATGGAAGACTGGGCCGGCGTGAACCGCACGGCCTTCCCCGCTAGCCCAGCTGTGAACGGGCTCGAGAAACCTGCCTTGGAGGCAGACATTAAATACACGCAGGTAACTGAGCACGAGGAAGGAGGTGTCCTTAATCAGGAGAGAGGAAGAGGTAGGGGGTAGGGAGAAAGAGAAGAGACCCCCTCCACCCCCGGGGGAGCCGAGTTGGGCTGAAGGTTGAGGTCTGGTCTGCGGGCATATTTCTCTCCTTTCCTAGGAGGGGATTGACTTGCCTTTTGCCAAGACACTTTTGCTAAAAAACCTGGGACCCGTTAACACAAAATGTTGAGGACTGACTCCCTTTCTCTAAGTCCCAGACGGTGAATATCATGACCCCCTTCACCTTTTGTTATTATTTCTAACAATTTGAGTGGACATCGCTTTGCCACAGTCCTTGCCAGGACAATTAGAGGCCAGACTTTGCATGGGGAATCATTGTGGGGACAGCAGGGAGAATGGGGACCCGCCTCCCGTAACTGCCGGTGCTGGAGAAGCCGGCGGGATTGCCCGCTGCCGACGGTCTGTCGCTCTCTCTCCCCGCAGTCGGCCTCCGGCCTCCCCGCGGTGGGCGGCTTCCTCCCGGCCTGCGCCTACCCGGCCTCCAACCAGCACGGTGTGTACAGCTCGCCGGCCGGCGGCTACCTCGCCCCGGGCCCGCCGTGGCCGCCGGCGCAGGGGCCCCCGCTGGCGCCCCCCGGGGCCGGCGTCACCGTACACGGCGGCGGGGAGCTTGCCGCAGCCGTGACCTTCAAGCATCCCAGCCGAGAAGGTGAGGGGCGCGGGCCGGCGGGAGGGGTTCAGACGAATGCTGGAGGATTAGGAAGGGTGCAAAGGAGCAAAGGAGAGAGACAGACAGAGACAGAGACAGAGACGACAGGAGACAGAGAGGCTGGAGTGGGTACCGGCATAGATTCTTCCTCTGGGTTAACACTTTAAGCCAGAGCAGATTAATTTCTAATAGGTATAAGCCGTGTCCCTAGAAAGGCAGGCAGAGATTGAGAGAGGCCCCAGGACTGTCCCCTAACTTGTATGGATTAAGAAGAGCCCCCCTCTCTGGGTCTCATTTCTCTGTCCGTAGAAGGGTCTAGAAGGCACCCTCCAGGGGCACCTTCCTGTGGCCTGTGGAGCTGTCCCTTCTGTGGAGGACCTGCTGTGGCACCTGAACCCCGCAGGTGGGGTTGGACCTGCCCTGGCCCAGACCCCTTCCACGCACTGCCCATCTCTTTCTTCCATGTCCGAGTTTTTTCTTTTTTTTTTTTCCCCCAAGCAGGCCCTGTTCTCCCCTTGCATTTATCTTCTTCGGCACATCCTTTGGGCGAGGAGACAGCGTTTCAATCATGTGTCTCTTAAGTCTAGGCTCTTCTTCTTCGTAAGTCTGCTCTCTGATAAGCCAACTAACAGATTTGAGGTGTTTAATTCACGGTCCACAGTGAGAGGGGCATCTTCCTACACTGACCTTTGGGTTCTAGTTTTTCCTGTAACTTGGGAAAAGCTTACCTGCCCTTGACTCTGCATTTTCCTCACGGTGAAAGGAATGACTGGATTTGCCAATTTCCAACCTGCCTGCTTTTAGGTTCTGAGCTCCAGGAATTTGCAACTCCAACTCCTCTAGGAAAAGGCAGGAGTCACTCTGGGGTGGAGGTGGGGCCTCTCGGCCTCAGTAGCAAAGGAGGCTGAGCACGAACCTGGGGGCTGCCTGGGGCACAGGGATGTTCCAGATTCCCGAAGGGTCTTTGCAGCTGATCTGCCTTATACCCACCCAGGCAGAAGTGGGGGCAGGTAGCACTGGGTAGGCAGAGGAAAGGAGGGGCTTCCTCTTTGGTGATACCCAGGCAAAAACTTTACTTCCAAGTAGTTTCATTGAGACGTAATAGCGTGATCTATGAAAGAGAGAGAGAGACAGAAAGAAAGTGAGAGAGAGAGAGAGAGAGAGAGGATTAAGTTGCCATCATTAACAGTCAAGTGGAGGAACAAAAGTTAAAATTCTTTTGTCACTTTTTTAGAGCACGAAAATTCTGGGATATCAATTTACAAATATTGAGACTTAGAACTCCTTCAAGCTTTAAATTTAATTTAAATAATAGGAAAATTCCACTTGTTCATTTACAGGAAAATCTAAGTAAAGGGAATTTTAAAAGTCGAGACTCAGAGCTCCTTCGATCTTTCCCTTTAAGGACAGATAAGGGGTCTTAGGGGAAGTGTTTTGCTCAGAGCCTTGTCCTCGGACTCGGACTCGGACCTACTCGTTTTCTTGACACCTGAGGTTATCTGTTGAATTAGAAATTGAAATGGAATTTACCAAATTATACTCATTAGACTAATCGTTTAACTAAGCAGGTTCATTTGATTTAGAAAAGTGTATCCACAAATTTAAACGATTCCCTGGGCTGACCCCAAGTAGCAGGAAGACTTAGAAAAAGGACTCACTATCTTCAAAGTGATGTGATCCTTTCCTAACAGAGCCATTCTGTCCCAGGGCATTTCAAGCGCTACCTTAGAAACAAATTATGAAATGTAGGTAATAATCCAAAGGTGAAACACACAGTTCTGAATTCTAGGCTAACTCTAGTTAATTTGATGGGCAGGGGGTACTCACTGGTGGTTAATTGTCTTTGGAAGATACTTTCCTTTCAGAAATACAGAGCCATTGAATGACACTGGCATTCCTGTCCATTTCACCATCATTCTCACTTCCTATTATGAAACATCCCACCCATTTCCAAAATCTGCAGCAGTAATTAGCTACATTCATTGTTAAATTAATAACAATGTTCTGATCCCGACAGTTGTTTAAAGATCCAAGTAAAGGGTCATCGAATAAATCAGGGCGATCATTGAAAATGATTTCTCCAGCTGGCATACAAATGTTTGTGTTTGAACAGGAACATATAAGTAATGAGAATTGCACATCTACTTGGGTTATGGATTTTTACTCTTCTCATTGGCAGAGAAATGGACGTGAAAGATTGCCCCCACCCACAAGTGGTCTTTGAAAAATTACAAAGCAAAGTAATGTGAACCACTGCCTTTAATTTTCTAATCATTGCTTAAGAAATTATCTTCAAAGAAACGTATCCCGTAAGACAATTTACTATCATTAATTGTTCATAAGAGTAGTAGGAATAGTGTCTATTGGACTTCCTCAGTAAGAAAACAGTTTCTTCACTGAAAGCGGTTTAATATCATGATGGCTCAGTATAAAAAAAATACTTCTGATCATCTAGTCCATACACGGACAATATACACATAATAATATATATTATATTTTGTATATGTATATACATATATTTCAATATGTCCTCCACATCAGGTGCCAATGAACATTATTATCCTAAGATAAGCTTACTCAGATGTCAAATTATTCATTACAATTTATTAACTTTATCTTGGTAGAGGGTTGTGAGTCTGGGTCCCCTATTATTTAGGCAAGAAAGTGTGATTTACATTTCCCAACGGTGAAAGGAAACTTTAGTTCTTAAGGCCTGAGAGCATAGGAAAGTTCCACTGCATCTACAAGTGGAGGGGAGCCCGTGTTCTAGGAATTCCGACCCCTATCCAGACAAGACCATCTCCCTCCCCTTCCCCTTCCAGACAGGTGACAGACCCCATCAGGCATTCCCTCAAGACAAATGGTATTTACAGAGTGTTTTCAGAAACCTCAAAACCTCCCAGCTCTGAGGTCCCTCCCAGCCCGGTTTTGGAAAGACTTAAAGATTTGGAAATCAGATTTATAAGATATTGCATAGGCTTAAAGAAAATGTGTCTTTTATATTTGTTGGAGATAACTCGCGGCTTGTTCCAGTCACCCCTGCTCCGGATTAGTTCTTGAAGGATCCTAAAAGCGAACTTTGCCAGGAACACTAGGGCGCAAGCTTTGGCCTGAGAGCCCGCCGCCGCCAACCTCGGTCTCCTTTGACACAGCCTTGGGAGACCCCTTTCCAGCACTCCGCTGACATCTCCCCCAATCCCCGCCCTGCCCCACCCCAGGGTCCCAGTGGCCCTGGAATGGAAGTACCAATATTTTTTAAAAAGCTTGTCCTCATTCCTGCCCATTAAGTTTAAATAAGCTTGCAGAGCGCCTAACGCCGGCCCGAGCCTTCTTGGGGGCCCCGCGACGTACCCACTCCGTCGCCCAGATTCCTGCAGGTGGGAAAGGGGGGGCGGAGGGGTCCTATGGGGAGGGACTGGGGCGGGGGAAGAGCTACAAACGCAGCAGCAGGCTCGCCCCCATAGAGTGGAGTGAAATCTGTCTCTGGTCTCCCGGGTGTTTATTTTTCACAAGTTCATTTTCTTGCTTGTCTCTCAGGCAACCGGCCCTTGGCTGAGAAACCTCCAACTCCGGAGTTGTTTTCTAAACAGGCCCTCACCTCCAAGTGTGTGTACTGGGTGGAATGAAAAGGTCTGAAAACTTCGTCGGCTGAGCGGCCACCACTGTGTTTAGGAAAGAGAGCTGAGAGGCAAGGGAGAGCGAGGGGTCGGTCCTGGAAAGGTCTTCAGACCCCTTCACCACCTCTGCGAAACCAGATGTGCGCGCGCGCGCCCCTGGAGCAGAGGTGTGGGCCCGGCTCCGCGCGGCCCCGGGGCGGTGCGCCAGAGTCGGGGCGAGGGCAGCTGCAGGAGGAAACAGCCGGGAGCTCCCCCTCACCCCAAACTGAGGCGCCCCCAAGCTCCCCCTTTAAAGGAGGACGTGTGGAGGAGAAAAGAAAGTTGAAAGTAGGCGCTTTTAGGTATAAATAAGCCTGTGCTTTCCAGCGCAGGAGAAGCCGAGGGGCCGGGCGTCGGGAAAGGGAAAAACAGGGGTTGCACAATCGTGGCGTCAATTTTCTGGCTTCCAGTAGCAAAACTTGGGCCCCTTCCCAAAACCCTAAATAATAGAGCAACTCGCTGAATGCTGCCTAATATGGCAAGTCCACTGTCACTAAATCCGGAGGCCCACAGGCCCCAGGACGTGCTGTGCCCACAGTGATGAGCGCATCTGGATCCCTGGGCCGCGGGGGCAGAACGAAGTCTGCCGCCAGCCTAACGCGCGACCGCCTCCCACGTCGGGGGGTGATCCTGTCCACCCTGGGCCCTCCCCGCGGGGCATTTTGGTGACCCACCCCCACTCGATTCCCCCCCCCC